CCACTGGTTAGGTCGGGTGACCCGCAGCCTGCTTTGCTCGGGGAAATCCGGTTATACGCCTGTTTCTTTTTCCTTCTTTTGAGACAGAGTCTCACTCTGTTGCCGGGCTAGAGTGCCGTGGCGTCAGCCTAGCTCACAGCAACCTCCAACTCCTGGGCTCACAGCCGATCCTCCTGCCTCAGCTCCTGAAGAGCTGGGACTACAGCATCGCCCAACCAAACCATGCCCACTAATTTATTCTGTATATTTTTAGTTGTCCACCTAATTCTATTCATATTATTTAGTAGAGACGCGGGTCTTGCTCTTGCTCAGGAACTGCGTCTGGAACTCCTGAGCTCACAGCGATCTCCCGCCTGGCCCTCCCAGAGTGCTAGGATTGCAAGGCGTGAGCCACCGCCAGCCCGGCCCACACCTGTTTTCCCTTGGTGTCCGATGAGTAGCACACCTCACTCACCGAGAACGTCCTGGCCCTGGCCTGGCCTATGCACTCAACCAGGCAAGCCCACCTGCAGGCGCCACCTCTTCCGGAGGAACGACCCGAGCGCTAGTGGGACCCAGGTGTGACCACAGTGTGTTTTTTTGAAGGGTTGTCCTTGCCGTGTTTATGAAAAAATATCACAAAGCTTTAGAGTTCTATACTGAAACAGACCAAGAAGGCTGGGTCTTCTTTGCTTCCCAAGTGGAAGAAGTGTAGCACTTATACTAAAGAAGCAATTTCCACGTTCTCTTTTACAGCATCCTGCTGTTTCACTAGGATGAATACATGACTGTTTATTTGGGTTACTAACATTCTTTACTTCTTATCATTCTCTTGTCACGTTTCTATTTGGCACACAGATACTTTTCTTTGCTCCTGCAGAGAACCTCAGAAAGAAAATTAATTGGCCAACTAAAAGTATATAGAAAAAGTCAGCCGGGCATGGTGGCTCGTGCCTGTAGTCCCAGCTACTCGGGAGGCTGAGCGGGGAACGGAGAGGGTGGCGGGAAGGCAGACAGGCAGCAGGGAAGGAGGGTCTTGTGCACCTTCTATTTTATGGGCGGCATCTTAGGCAGGGGAGGAGACATCGGATTTAACTTTTGGACCGTTCACTGAGCCGTAGATCAGAGGACAGAAAAGACAGAGACAGTGTGCTCTCCCAGTCTGAGTGGCAGGCTGCGTGGACCAGCCTGCGTGCTGAGCCTGGACGCTGCTGTCCCGCTGAGACAGGCACTAGAAGGGGCCTGCCTGCTCCGTGGCAGCAGCGCCAGAGGGCCTCGCCGCACTGCCTAAGTTAGCATTCTCGGCACAAGAACCTTTCACGTATTTATTTTCCAAAGGGAGGGAGCATTCTTTATCCTTTTCTTTATTTTTTTGCAAAGTACTGAAGTGCTTTGCTATCTAAACCGAGTGTGAGTTTTGGGGCTGGATACACAGAACGCAGCGCTGAGTCTGAAGCGACGTGCAGAATGCCCATCTCTGTTGAGCTTTCTCTGCTGGCGCCGCAGGCTCTGGCACACGCGTGCCGGGCGCAGTGCTCTGTGTGGGTTAGCTGGGGCACGTCAAAGGAATAGAAACGGCACCAAGGTAAAGGCCACCGGACACCTTCCTGTGCCCTCCGGCTCGGGGCAGGGAAGCACGTGGGCCATGCACGGTGTCACCAGGGCACCCGGCTCCTCCTGTCACACGGGGGCAGCTGAGAGAGGAGCGTCTGGTTGTTGCCTGGGCAACACGCCCAGCGCTCTGCAGGGCGCACGTAGAGCTCGCTCGGCCGACAGAGAAAAACGTCGAGCCGAGCCGTTTCCAGAGAACGCTCGGGTAATCCAGTGCTTTGTAATCACTGAATCAAAGTAAATGGTCGACACGCCTTTGCCGGGTGGCCAGGAGGGCCTGGCACCGTGTCACTTTGTTCGGGGCAGAGGAGCAATGATACCGGCTGGGCGTTTGCGGGGCCTGGCGAAACGGGCCCCCAGTGGTTGCCATCCCCCGGGGTTTTCCGAGCTGACCCCGAGCATCGGCGTGCGAGAGAGCTCCCCGGAGCGGTTTTGACTCTGGGGATCTTAACTCCGGCCCGCCCGAGGGTTGCGTGTCTGTGTGGGGTCTGGTGCGGCTCTAAGTTTGCGGTGGGCGGTGGCTGCGGTGCCCGTGGTGGTGCCGGTGGTGGTGCCGGTGGTGGTGGTGCTGCTGCCCCGTCATCTTTTCAGAGCGTTCCTAGCACGGCCGACACACCGTGGTGACAGACATGCCCTGTGTCGGGCTGTCCAGTGTGGCCCCACGTGGCACGGAGCACTTGCAATGCAGCCGGTTAGGGAGGAACCGGGCTCTAAGTTTTATTTAACTTCAATGAATTTACATTTATTTAAAAAAATTTTTTTTTGAGACAGAGTCTCACTCTGTTGTCCGGGCTAGAGTGCCGTGGCGTCAGCCTAGCTCACAGCAACCTCCAACTCCCTGGCTCAGCGATCCTCCGCCTCAGCCCCGAGTAAGCTGAGACTAACAGGCATGGCCCCATGCCCGAGCTACACTTTTTTCTATGTTTTTAGTTGGCCAATTAATTTCTTTCTATTTTTAGTAGAGACGGGGGTCCGCTCTTGCTCGCGCTGGTCTCAGAACTCCTGACCTTGAGTGATCTGCCCGCCTCGGCCTCCCAGAGTGCTAGGATGACGGCGTGACGCTGCCGGCCCGGCTGAATTTGCGTTCAATGTGTTGGATACCCACGTGTGGCTAGTGGCTTCCAGACTGGACCAGCGGGCGGCACAAGCAGCGGGTCCATCATCCGTCCTGCGGGTCCTCGAGCCCCCTGCCCCCTGCCCACCTGCCTCTGCCCCTGCCGCCTCTCCTGCAACTCTGGGCTCGGGGGGCCACCCCAGGGAGATCTCCAAGCCCCCGAAGCTCACAGGTGTTGGCCTCACAAGGCCACGGGGTCTTGCTGCTGCATTTCCCAGACGGTCACACCCCATTCTGTCTGGTGTCCCTCCCGACCCTGTGAGCCCCTGCTAAGAGCAAGGCATGGCCACACGCAGCGCCGCGCCTGAACATCCCAGGAGCCATGCACGGCTGCTGAATGAATAAACACGTACGTAAATGAAGTTTAACGAACACCTAAGTAACGCTTACTCCATGCCAGCACTCCCCTAAGACTTTCCAATATCTGTCATTCTGGGGCATGTCTAGGTTGGCAATGGGGTTCACTTCACAACTAGGGGTTTAGAAAACTTACTTGACGCAAGGCCAGGCGCGGTGGCTCACGCCTGTCATCCTAGCACTCTGGGAGGCTGAGGCGGGAGGATCGCTCGAGGTCAGGAGTTCCAGACCAGCCTGAGCAAGAGCGAGACCCCCCTCTATACTAAAAAAAAAAAAATAGAAAGAAATTAATTGTCCAACTAATGTATACAGAAAAAAAATTAGCTGGGCTTGGTGGCGCATGCCTGTAGTCCCAGCTACTCGGGAGGCTGAGGCAGGAGGATGGGCACCGAGACCAGGGGCGCGTGGGGAGGGAAGAAGGCGGGGAGGGTGAGTTGGGCAGTGAAGGCAATGGAGGCCGTGCGGCATGGGCGTTTGCAGGGCAGGTGCCATCTTGCCAGCAAGGGGTGCCGCTCCCCGCTGGTGCTGTTCGGGAGCACCCGTGTGTTCGTGGGGAGAGTGGGGAGAAGGAGTCCGGAGAGGGTGGAGAGGCCCACACGTGCCTGTGAGGCTTTGGCCGAGGAGCATGGACGATCTGATCACCCGGCATGTCCGCTCACCTGCCCTTGGAGACCCGAGAGATTTCCGGGGGGCAGGTCAGCCCAACACAGCAGTGACACCCTACAATGTTGCCCCACAGCTGGCAGCTCCAGAACAGCTGGTCCTCTCCTGCCTTTCGGACTCCTGAGCTGGTGCCAGAGACCAGGGCCACGTCCCCAGCCCGCTGCAGTGGTCACGGGGCACTGGTTAGGTCGGGTGACCCGCAGCCTGCTTTGCTCGGGGAAATCCGGTTTACGCCTGTTTCCTTTTTCTTCTTTTTGAGACAGAGTCACACTCTGTTGCCGGGCGCTAGGAGTGCCGTGCCCGTCAGCCTAGCTCACAG